TGCGCTAGATGCAGACTCCATTTTTATCCCTTGTCTTTCTGAGCCCCTGACTCCCATAACCAACTCTTGCTGCAGAAGCACTTACCAAGAGACAGCAGGCAGGCACTGCCATTCACAGACCCGTTTCCTGTCCTACAACAGCCACTAGTGAGGTGCTGTAACTTAGATCTGAAAGACACTAGGTGTGTGCCTTTGACAGGAATACTGGGACTCAAGACCTTTCCTCTCTTTTAGCTTCCCAGGTGCCATGAGGTAAAGAGGTTATCCCTACCATGTTTGCCCACCAGCATACCACAGACCCAAAGCCACTGGACCAAGGGACCATGGACCAAAACCACTAAAAGCTTATTATGAGCCAAAATAACCCCTTCCTCTTTTTAAGCTGTTTACCTTGTGTGTCTACATGAGCAAGGAAAATACAGTTAATATACATGGCGATCTGAACAGTTTCTTATAGTCTCGCAGGATCTTCGTTGTGTGTAGAAGGGAGCATCTGCAAGCCCGTAACTCCCCACTAAGGTGAGTTCTAAAGAGGGGTTAGCTCTCTTGGAGGGTTGTCCCTTGGAGGCCAAAGGACACATTCAGGCAACAGCTTTGGCACAACAGCAAAATCTCAGCACCTAGACTGGGAAGGAAGGATGGCATAGTGCTGGAGGCCTTGGATCAGCCAGCATCTTTCCAAGCACCTCTTGCTTCCTGATCCTCACTCCTTCCTCACTTCCTCTGGCCACTTTCTTTCAGCCTCCCTCCCAAGGTCTCCATGCTCTGCCGTCACATATTGCTTCTGCCGAATCTTCTATTTAGATCACTGGCATTTAGGATGCTATATTTGCCTGTTAAAGTCTACTTGAATCCATTTACAAAAATAACTTTCATGAAACATATAAAGGTCTTTCAGCACAAGCAGCTCATCTCTGAACACAGACTCAGGGATACAGTTCTTTTCAGTCCTAAATTTGTCTTTGGAGGTGGAGACAAGAACATTCTCAGAATATCGGGGATGACAGATGCAACAAGCCACAGCAGATTACCCAAAAACTGTGGGTCAAAGCACCAGTGACCCTCAATTTAAAAATTAAAAACAGGAGGCTATTGAGTAATCTTTTTCCTTTTTCATTGGAGATCTGTCCCCTGTGTATTCAAAGATTAAACTTCACACACACACACTTTGGGTTCCTGTTTCTTCCTCTCTTCTTCATACCCTTAAAAACTCCCACTGGTACTAAACCCTTGCCCGAGTGGAAACCATTGAAGCCATTGCTATGTCCTTTTTTTCCCGGGAGTCTGTATTTAATCCTTCACTGTATCGTCTGCACACTTGCAGTAAAGGATACCCTCACGGCTGCAAAGGATCCTCTCGATGCAACTGCCCCGAAGAAGCATCAAACAACGGCAGGAAGTCCCACACTGCTGTGCTCTTCCACCTCCACTGCTGTAACCATCTGCTGATTGATGTGCCTTTGGTTACCTTTTTCTCTGCAGTATGCGTGAGCGATTAAACCCGGGACCTTACAAAGGAGTGCTGGGTGGGTTCTGCCCCTGCCTGACTTTCCCTTTCTGTAACGTACCCACCACACAACAGGTAAACACTCCTGGAAATGTGAAGCAGAGCTTGTCCTCTTCTCCTGCTCGATCTTCACCAACTTCCAATGTGCTTGTAATAAAATCCAAGCATGCTATAGGACTCCCAAATTTCTGCCTGACACTGGCACCACTCGCCTCTGTCTGTGCCACCCTCCATTCTCCCCCTACTCAGCAAGCTTCAGCCACATTGGTTCCCTTTCCCTTCCTTCTTCTTTGCACTTAGGATTGGCTACAGCTATTCCTCGTGTGTGGTTTGTGTCTCTGTCCACCTCTGGGGCAGGCTCAGAGGGGTCAAGCTGTTCAGTGCTCTTTTTCTGCCGCTCTCGAGCCACTGCTCAGGACAATGCTCAGAGTGTTACTGTGGTGACTGGGGTGGATGCAAGGCTGCATTTTCACCCTTTAGTGGGCCAGTCTCTCTAGCAGAAGAACTCTCTGGAAGGTGCCCATAAGAGTGACATCGCTGGTGCTTTGTTAAGACACCTTGGCCAAAAGTTACCTAAGGAAGAAAGGGTTCTTTTTTGTTTTGTTTTGTTTTACAGTTCTGCGTCCTAGTGGCTTAGCATCCAGAATGGCAGGGACAAAATGACAAGGCACAGGAGCATCTTTTTCTACAGAGAGAAAGCATAGAAATGGTGCAGGAAGTGGATGAGGCCACAAACCCTCAAGTCTAACACCAGTGATGCACCCGAGCAGGGCTAAGCCTCCTAAACTGTCTGTAACCGCTCTGAAGAGTGTGTGCCCGCCAACCGGGAACCAAGTGTGCGATACATGAGCCCATGGGGACGTTGCTCATGCAAACCACAGTTATACCCCATTAGTGCAATCCTCATCTTTGTACTCCACCCTCTGGGTATCATCCGGGACTGTGCCTGAGTCTCCTGATGCCCTCTTTCACCATCCGCCGGTTCCCACTGTCTCTCGACAGGCACAGGCAGATGCGGAGACCAGTAAGATCTGCCACTGGACTCCAGTCAGGATTCATGCTATTCAGCGCGCTGACCCACAAAACAATCTTTACATTTTTATTTTAATTATTTATTTTATAGATTTTTTTTGCCTTCATGTATAGTGTACCTCCAGAGGTCATTATATGCCCTGAATCAGGAATTGTGAGCTGCCACGTGGGTTCTGGGACTCGAACCCAAGTCTTCTGGAAGAACAGCTAGTTCTCTTAACTGATGAGCCAGCTCTCTAACTGCATTATTTCCCCCCCCAAACAATCTTATGATTATATCCAGACACACAGAATACAAACAAGAGAGTTGGATAAGTAATTATCAGAACATCCTTCCATGGGTCCAGTTACAGAATTTATCACTTAACTTTCCTGTCCCTATCCTGGAAGAATGACTTGCTGACTGGAACTCCCCTCAGCCCTCAGGACTCAGGATTGAGGGAGAATTTTGATATGCATAGCATCAGGTCCTTTCTGCTTAAAGATGCAGATGAGCACAGCTGTGGCATCCTGCTGGCCCCACACCTCCAAGGTTTTCTACAAAAGGCTCAGGGCCTTTAATTTTTTTTTTTTCCTCTGGATTTAGAAACTGGAGCCTTGGCCTGGTTGGGGTGGGTGTTAGAGAAGAACCCAATGCAGGTCAGTTTAGAAACGAGTACAGCATCCGCCTGCTGGGTTAGGTGCCGTTCCTTATGACAGTGCACACAGGCCCTGGAATCCTGGAATCCTATGTTCTTATTTTGGGCGTGTTCCTGGGCAGGGGAAGAGTTGCGCAAGAGCCAGTCACTGGTCTTTTGCTGCAATATTCCCGAAGAGAGGTAATCCATTTCTCCCTCTTTCTAATCCCGATCCCCAACCTGAAACCACAAAAGGAACTCCAAGAAAATCCCTTATAAAGCCAGTGTTCTCTGAAAGGAGGGGAGGAGTCTGGAATCCCATTACACACCGCTTCTGCTTAGACAATGGCTGTGTGCTGTGAAAGAAATGGGAGGAAGTAGAGAGGAACAGGACAGAGACCGACCCCCACGGCCTGTCAGTAGAGGGTGGTGAGCTTGTTCCTCAGGGGAAGGTGGCCTCTGCAAAAGGTGTCTACCTTTGCAACACCTTGTCTGGCTGTGCTGAGGTCACCCACACAGGTGTGAGGAGATAAACAGCCACAAATAAGCAGACCCCTCCGAATTCTCTCCTCTGCTCCCCTTGCAAAAACAGCTGGGAAATAACACCAGACTCCGGGGAGTCCAGGTTGGAGTGCTAGAAGGAGCAGCTTTGAATCTGAGGTAAGAATGAACCTTGGAGTTGGAGTTAATTGCTCTCATGCCTGAGGGTAATCTGAGTATCTGGGACTCCGTCTAGGAGGGACTAAGTGTCATTGGAAGACAGTGTGGCTGATTCTTACAAAGCAAAACACATCCCTGCCGTGTGATCCAGCAATTTCACTTCTTTGTATTTACCTAAAAGTAACTGAAAACCTTTGTATATGCCACACCAGGTGTCTGGCATCTTTCCTCTTAATTGCTTAAACCTGGAGGCAAAAAAAAAAAAAAAAAAAAGAAGTGCTTCGATAGATGAATGAATACATACACATACACATACACATACACACACACCCCATTGTACATCTAACAATAGAATACTATTTACGGAAACATATGAATGAGATTTTCTTGCTTATTACTAAGTGGAAACCAGTCTGAAAGTGGTGACAACCATGTGACTCTATAGGAAAATCCGTAGTATCAGGACTTCAGAAGCTGATTCGTTGGCAGAGGCTACAGGGGGCGAGGGTGAGAGGCAGCAGAGGTGATCTAAGCAGGGGACTTATTCTGTCTGGTGTGCACTGGTCTGCACACACCGTTACACGTCTGCTGAACCCCATAGCAGTGCCACCCAGAGAGTAAACACTGTGGATTACGGGTAAAAAGGACAAACAATGCAGGATCATTAACTGTAACCGACATTCCATCCTGGTTTGGAGTATTGATTGGGCGGTGAAAAAGTTGGGCATAGCAGGGTCAGAGTCAAGTAAATGAGAATCCTGCCCTTTGCTTGGTTTTACTGTGACCCTGAGGCTGCTGAGGTTTTTTTTGAGGGTGTAGGCTCTACAATGACTGAAGCACTGTTGTTAAGGCTTTTCTCCAGGAGCTGGGTTCAATTCCCAGCAGCCACATGGTGAGTCTTGGATTCCAGTCCCGGGGGATCTGGCCTCTAAAGGCACTACATGGATGTGGTGCATGGACACGTACACATAGAATAAAAAGAAAATGAACCTCTTTTAAAAGGCAAGGCAATTCCCACCCATGCCATTCTAAAAGCTCAGGAGTGGAGGTGGCCATCACTGTTCACTGAGCTGTTGAAGCAAGGGTTGGCTTCCACCTTCCTCAGAGCAATTCAGTGCCCCAGGAAACCCACTGCCAGCAGGAGACTGCTGCAATGAGCGTTTTAAGAAAGGGGACCTGACCTCCGCCCCTGGTGATGGGCAGAGAGACACCTCATTGGTGGTGTTGTCCTTATATCAGTCAGGACAGAGCACATGGCGGGCCTTTGTTCATCCTAGCCTGATGCCTGCGTGGTGGCCAAAGCTGTCTTATGCCCAGGACACCTCACACCCAGGCCCCTCCAGTCAGCTATCACTTGCCCCATCCACCAGACAGAGTATCTCTGAAACCATTAACCATCTTGTTCTTCTCTCACTCCAGCTCCATGATCCGGTTCCTCTGAGGTCCCCCACATGTGTGTGCAGGCTCCTGGCTCCTACTTTACGGCCTGGAACCTTTTCTGGGCTTTTAAACGTCTTCAAACTCAACTGAAGGTTACACGGGTTTGACCTAGAAATTCAGTGACCTGATCTTCAAGCAGTAGGAGGGATGGGCCTGTGCGTAAAGTGTTACTGGTTGTCTCCACCAAACAGACTCTCCCTGGATAAAGTGTTTCACATTTCTTCCCAGAGAAGGGCCACGAGCAAGCAGTAAACCGCACGAGTCGCAGATGGTGCATGGAGCCAAGCTAGCCCAGGGCCCCATGCTGACCGCCCTGCCCCACTGCAGGTCTGGTCACTCTCGTTCCCCTGCTATGAGAGGGGCTGGCTCGTGGGAAGAACCCCAGCCCATAGCCCAACACCTGCAGCTCTGTCACATCTCCCGAGAACCCCTCTTGCAGTCCAGGGACTTCATTGCACTCTTACTAGACCCCTTCCAGAGTCCCATGATACCCAGATCTGAGTTTAAACGTTATTCGGTACCTGGGTCCCTACTCCTCTTGGCAGAGTTTCAACTTCACTGTCCATCCACTTTAAGACACTGTTTAACTTCTTGACACCTTAGCCTGGACTGGAGTTTGCTTTAAGCCACTTCACCCCTATGCCAATCCCCTGGAACTGTCTATACAAGATGGAGAACCACAGATGCCAGGACAAAAGGTCAGAGCTTTTTAAACTTCACATCTAGCCTGTGTGGCTGCCCTGTCTGTGAGCCCTACAGCGGCCAATCAATTAGTGAGAACACTTGATCCTTCATTGGCTTTCCACCAATCACGTGGGCAGGTTGACTCATTGGTCCTAACGTCCAGCTGAACATGAGCAGACCCCATGTGACCCTCCATGTGGCCAACCATGGACTCACCATCCTTGACACAGCCACAGAAAGAAGGGAGACCGTCAGCAGAAGCACCGGAGAGTCCACCCATGTCTGACTACAGGACTCTGTAGTGATATGTGGGTATGGTTATCCCCTTAGAGGGCTCTGATTCTCTGGCTCCACCTTGCATAACTGGCTCCCCACACCAGCCTGTCTGTCTCTGGGTACTCACAGAGCATAGTAGACTCCGAGCCTCAACAGGTGGTAAGCTCTCTTCAGTTAGGAAGGACACAGGCACAGCAGGAGGCTTGCAATGTGAAAAGCTGAAGTGCAAGTGCAGAGAACAGCTGTGCCCTGGGCAACTGTGCTCTTTCTGGAGTTCACTGCTCCCTGAGAGAGAATTGAGTCTTGCTTTCCTGTGTCCCTCTCATAAGAGATCACCCTTGCTATTTAAAAGATTTATTTTAGTTTTATGTGCATGAGGGATTTTTGTTTGCTGGGTTTTTTTTGTTTTGTTTTGTTTTTTGTTTGTTTGTTTGTTTGTTTTGAAACACAGCTTCTCTGTGTAGCCTTGGCTGTCTTGGACTCTCTTTGTAGACCAGGCTGGCCTCGAACTCAGAGAGATCGGCCCGTCTCTGCCTCCCCAGGTGCTCAGATTACAAAAATGTGCCTCCACACCAGGCCGTGTGTGTTTTGCCTGCATTTATGTCTGTGCCTGAGGAGGCCAGAAGAGGGTGTCAGATCTCCAGTGGAGTTACTGATGGCTGTGACCGGCCATGTGGGTGCTGGGAACTGAGCCTTTCTCCTATCCAAGAGTAGGGGGCGCTCAAATGCTGAGGCGTCTTCGTAGCTGCAGCCTTGGGCTTGTAAGCTCCACTGAGTGGGAAACAATGGCGGAGGTTCTGCACAGCCTCTCAGAGCCGCCTCCCAAGTTGCTCAAGCACATTTGAGAAGGCGTCATCACTGGCCGTAATGAGAAGAGGCTTACAGCTTTAGGACTGCAGTTTCCTGAGTTAATATTTCATGCTAAATTTATTCGCTCTTTTGACATCTTTATGACCTGTGTACATCGCTCTCAGATGTTCGTAATAATGTTCAAATTGAAAGGGCATGACGATCGCCTCACAGTTAAAAACAGTGCTCTTTGTTAAGTCAATTTAAGCATCTTGTTACATTTGGGGCTTGTGGCCAATCAGATACATATTCCTTTTAAAGATCACTCTTCCTTGCTTTTCCAGGATTGTTCTACTTGGAAGGACTAGAAAGAAGCTGTCGGCTTTATCTGAGGATCTCAAGGGTCAGTTCCACATGTTTCTTGTCCTCTGTTAAAGACTGATTACCTTTGGACAAGTGGGTGTGAGATATTGAGTTGAAATCCTTGAGTCTGGAATTATTATCCTCAATTTGAGCCTGGTCTGGAGTTTCTGTGTAGTTGTCTAGACGAGGGTGGTGTGTCTGAGAGCTTGAAATACGGCCAGCCCATGTTCCAGGCCGTACACTGGCTTCTTATGGAAGCCAGACCTTCCAGCAAGCCAGCAAGGTAACCACAGTGATGGCTGCTACTTAAGATTAAGAGACTGGGACTTGGAGGTGGTGATGGAGAGGAGGAAACTTTCCTCCCCTCCCATGTCTCTCAACACCTAGGACAGGTAGGAGAGCTGGCCTCAGGGTTACAAGAATGGGAGAACTGGTCATGTCCCTCATTGCTGAAATGCTCAGGAGAGTGGGTCCGGCACCTCACTGGGGTAGAGCTGGCCCTGGTTGTGGAGGATGTTGTTGAACCAGCCCAAGGGTATGAAAGCAGGAGAGCCGGTGGTATCTGACCAGCTCAGATACCTCTCGGGCCCAGATCCAGGGCTTTGAATTGGCCCTCCCCAACATCTACCCCATAGATGAACTGCTGGAGCACAGGAGGGGGCTGGTCCTACGGGCTCTCCATGGCACAGGGCAATGACAGGATATCAAAGAGGAGCCCCAGTGAGGGCCCAGCAATGGTAGAGTAGCAGAAGCCAGAGGCTCCGGACTAGATGGATAAGCCATTGCATTGAACATTTGCAAGCAGAGAAGTGTGGACAAAAGGGTGTTCTGTGTGACACACTGGGGCACACTACAGTTTGCTCAAAGAGATTTCTTTTTTCTTTGTTGGGGGTTGGGAGGTTGCAAGGGTAGGGAGTGGGTACGAGGGGAGGAAGAAATGAGTAGGATTGGGGTGCAAGATGTGAAATTCACAAAGAACCAGTAAAAAGTTAAGAAAGGAAGAAAGAAAAGAAAAACGAAAGGAAGGAAGGAAGGAAGGAAGGAAGGAAGGAAGGAAGGAAGGAAGGAAGGAAGGAAGGAAGGAAGGAAAGGGAACTTGGAGAGGATCTTCGGCTTGACACACACTGAGCAGGATAGACTGAGGAGCCTCTGAGCTCCTGGGTCAGAGCTCATCCCAATTTGCGAGACTTATCATGATGCTTTGGATCCTAGCCAGGGTCTACCAAAGCCATGTGTTGGTTAATTGGGTAGGGTCAGATCTCACACACAGTGAGTCTTACGGTCTGCTTCTCAGGAAAATAAAGCGAGGGATAGAGAGGATCTCCCCCGCCCCCGGTACATTTTACCAGCACGCTGGCTGTTCAGAGGTGTGTCTCTAGCCACCTTCCTCGGGATGCAGTCCTGAAAGGGTCGTGCTTTCTGAAGTGTACCATGACAGGAGACCCAGCCTTGCAGAATTTAAATTCAGGGAAGGATCTACAGAATCGTATTGTTTTTCAGAAGCTTCTCTGTTTCTAACAACTCACGTGCAATGTTTGGTTCACTCTACTGCTTTAAAATAGCCTCAGCAAGGACCGCTTCGCTCCTCTGACACAAAGCTGTACCATCTCTGTCTGTGAGGGACCTACATGCTGCAGCATGCTGCGTGCGCTGCTGCAGAGAGGCTCTCTGCGGAGCCATCCTTGCTGTACATCGCTGGTCTGTCTGGGTCTGATTCAGGCCCCAGCACATGCTAGGTAGAGACTCTTTGGTTCCACATTCTCCTCAGTGTTCAGTTTTGTTCACTCAACAAATGTTAAATGCCAGTAGCCAGTAATAACTAACACCTCTCTCTAAATAAAGCACTGTTTTGAGAGAGCATCTACATGGCCATTCTGATTTCATCTTTTATTTAGGGAACAGGGAGGGGGAGCCGTACCCCAGCACAGATTCTGCCAGCGGTAGTTGAGTTTCAAAACCCGAAACTGGGTCACGGTGACAGGATATGGATTCAGAATGCTAAAGCGCTCCACAGCACTGCAGCAATTGCAATGGTAAGAAAGGAAAGTGTTTCCTGAGGCTTTGGGAAACATACAAACACTGGGTGGGTCCACCTGTGTCACTCGGGCTGAGAGCTGGGCTTGGTCTCAACCCCCAGTCCCTGCTCTGTGAAGGTGGTTCTTCCTTTCTTTGGGAGCCAGGGTGAGATCAGATGGTGACTGAGCAGGGCCGGTGCCCTCACTTCTTCACTTACTGTGTGCACATACAGTCTTGTTCCATCTGGGGAAATACTGGAGAACATGGCCCTCACCTTCTTAGAACTCTGAGACAACGACATTAAAAATTACAAAATGCGTATGAAACCAGAAGACCAGCACTGCATAGGAGAGACACCCATAGCACAGGCAAGATGAGCTGATGAGAAGGGTGAGTGGATCTCTGCCAAGCAGAGGCTAACCTCCAGACCCCAAGGCAGATGGAGAGAATGGAGTCCTGAAAGTCGCCTGTCATAGCATGCACACACCTGTGCGCGCGCGCGCGCGCGCACACACACACACACACACACACCTCACATATACACTAACAGCAGAGAAGATAAAAATTACAACATAGGAGAGATGTTCAGAATATTCAACAGGCACCAGCTGACCCAAACATGGATATGGTCCCTGGAGGTGCCAGTCACTGTGGAGATAGCATGTTAGTGGCTGAAGGAAGTAGACTCAGAGGGTTAATAGTTAACAGTGTGTGGGAAAATAATTCATTTTTGTTTATTTGTTTTTTCAGACAATATT